GAGCCTTGGTTAGCCTGGAACTCACTATAAACATACACCAGGCTGGCCTCAAACTCACAGAGATCTACCTGCTTCAGCCTCGTGAGTGCTAGGATTAAAAGCATGCACGATCACACCAGACCTTATTTTTGTTTTTCTGACAGGTAATGTCATATAGCCCAGGCTGACCTTGAACTCTGCAGGCAGTTGAGGATGACTTTGAACTTGTGATCCTGCCTCCATCTCCTCAGTGCTGAGATGTCAGGTCTGTTCTACCATGCTGGTCTCAACATTTTGGAATTGTGTCTGAGCAAAATAGTTACCAGTGTGGCATTTAATGCCGGGGGTGAGGGCTTAAGTGAGGGTAGAAATCCAGAATTCAGCTTGGGATATACTATTAATTCCAAATGCCTGTTAGATGTTCAGGTGGAAATATCAGAAAGCTAAAGGAATATGTGCGTCTGGAATACAGGGAAGGTGTGGCTGGAGACACAAAATAAGCAGTAGCCAGCACCCGATGGTGTAACCCAGGAGGCCAGACAAGCTTGAGGAGGTAGAGTACACATTCGTCCATCACACTTTTCAGCAAGACAGAAACCACGATTCTCTTGCCAATACAAGGTGAAGATGTGTCAAGAGTTTTCTTCAGCTTTTTAATCAATGAGAGAAGCTGAATGATGTGGAGGCTGACTCAGAGAATTCACAGGACAGAGGCAGATGCAGGCAAGAAAGGATGCTTGCTAAGATATGGGAGACCACTTAGTGACCCATAGGGCAACAACTGTTACATTTGGGATTGTTTCCTACACAGGAAGAAATCATTTGTATATGTGGTATTCTAGTTTGCTTTCTGTTGTTATGGTAAAAACACCATGACCAAAAGCAATTTGGGGAGGAAAGGGTTTGTTTGGCTTACAGGTCGCAGTCCATTATGAAGAGGAAGTCAAGGTAGGGACTCAAGGCAGGGTGGATGTTCACTGCCTTGCTCCTGCTTCACCTTCTTACACACCCCGGTACCACTTGCCTAGGATAGCACCGCCCACAGTGGTCGGGGCCCTCCCACATCCATTAGCAATTATGAAAATGCCGCACAGTGTAGCAGGAATCTTAAAAAGTTCTTATTAATAAAATCAAACCCGGGGCCAGGTATTGGGGTAAAGGCTGGAATATCAGAGAACCAGAACAAGCCACAGCCTCCTCACCTCGACTGTTCCTGGGCTGATCCTGTTTCCTCAGACTGGAAGCCTCTGTGTCCTCATATCCGAATGGCTCTCAGCTGAACTGTGCTGCTCAAAACCTAAAAGCTTAACCAGCCAAATGCTTAACCAGCCAAATGCTTCTAGTTTCTGGTCCTCACACCTTATATACCTTTCTGCTTTCTACCACCACTCCCTGGGATTAAAGGCTCGCTTTCTGGGATTAAAGGTGTGAGTCATCATGCTTGGCTGTATCCTTGAACACATGGATTTCTGCCTCTGGAATGCTAGGACTAAAGGCATGTGCTACCACTGCCTATCCTAAGTATCTAGTGGCTTTTCTGTTCTCTGACCCCAGATAAGTTTATTAGGGTAGATAATATTTTGGGGAACACAATACCACCACATTTCCTCTCTTTTTGTCTAAGATTTAAAAAAGCTTATAACTAATACAAGAAAAACTATCTAATAAGTATATATAATATATACAGTCAAAAATTACGTTAACAATGTCTAGTCCATTAACATTTGACAGATTCAGACAAAAAACTCCATTATATATATATTAACAATGTCTAGTCCAGTAACATTTGATAAACTCAGACAAAAAATTTTCATTACTTATCCTACTTAAAACAAGTAGTTCCTTTTTAAAAGTATTTTTTCTTTTCATGATAGATTCAGTATTCTACCTTTTGTCATTTTTATATTTTCCCCTTTTTCTTTTTAGAGTAGATTCGTGATCTACCCATTTATCCTATTATTTCTTTATCTTTTTTTCTCAGAATAGATTCAGTGATCTACTTCATATCTATATCTTTTCTCTTTTTTTCTTTCTTTTTTAAACAAAACCTCTGAATCTTAGATTCAGCTTTTTTCCTGACCATTAACAATTAACAACTTGTAACCAACCATTGTAAACAATGACAATATCCAAAACTCATTAAACAACCAAAAACCTCCCATCCCACCTCTTGGGAATATGGGCGTTGTTTTCTTAAAATTATTTCCTGCTTTCTGTGGGTGAAGACATCTTCAGGGAATCCTAAAAAGAAATTTTTGGGTTAATTGTCAAGTCCTGTATCATTTGTCCAGTTGCTGCATAATAAGAAAGTGCAGGGCTTGTTTCAAGTCCCTGTTCAAGTAGTCTGTCAGGCTGGGTCATCTCAGCTAGCCATATCAAAATTGTCTTGAGCAGTTTGTAGTCCAAAGTCGATCTTTCCATGGTGTTAATCAGCTTAATGGCTTTACCACAGTCCTTATAGAATCATCTTTGTGGAGTCCTGGCTTCCTTTTTGTACCAAGCACAGACTTGCTTTAGGCCAATTTGATCTGGGCCGTTCTTCAGCCAAGGTTCCATCTTCACAGATGACGCTAGGTTGTGTCAGGTTGACAAGTAAAGCCATCGCTCATGTGGACAAAAGCTTCATTGCCTCATTTCCTGTTTCTACCTTGTCTGTAAAACAGCAGTTAAAAGTGACCCCCGCAATAGAACAATATGCCCCAAACCAGAGACTACATTTGGTATGGTAACTTCTTGATCATTCCCAAATTTCAGCCACATTTGCTCTACACTACCATTCAACAGAAATTGAGTGTCTGTTAAGTCATTGGCATTGCTCTGTACCACCAAAACACAGCAGTGCCAGGGTGTTGCCACACACCTCTAATCCCAGCACTTAGGAGGCTGATGTGGGAAGATTCTGAGTTCAAAGACAACCTGTGCTACATAGCAATACCCTTAACAGAGAGGCAACTTAAAAAAAAAGGACATCATTAAACAGAACACATATCCCTGTTCTCTTGATGCTTCTGTTATGGTATAGAACCAATATACACAGTAAGAGTAGACTCTATAGTCTATGTGAGGCAC